GCCGGGCCGGCGGGGGGGACGCTGAGGGGAGCAGGCAGCCCCCGCTGAGGGTCACGCTTGTTGCAGTGACCGTGGCGGATTATGCCAACTCGGACCCGGCCGTCGTGAGGTCCGGACGAGTCAAGAAAGCCGTGGCCAATGCTGTTCAGCAGGAAGGTAGGTGCCGGCGGGCGTCTGTTCCTGGGGCTCCAGCCGTGTTTTCCTTGCAGCCCCTCGGGCATCTTCGTGAGCGAGTGGCTCTCCGCGGGGTGGCTCCATGGACTCCCGGGAGGGCGCGGGAGCCGGAGCCTCCGCTGGCGGTTTCCGTACAGAAATGCCCGTGTCCGCCCGCATTACGGACGCCTCTGTGTGCGCGTCTGTAGCTCCCACTGCCGCCTCCTTGCTCAGCCCTTGCCCTGCAGTTCCCCGGTGCCCACGTGCTCTGCAGGTGGCTTCTAGTGTAGGAACCTTGCAGTATATTCGTTTCCTTCTCCCATGTTCCCCGTACTTTCAAGCTTTGTACATACTATCCTTGAGACTTGTGTTTTTTTAAAAAATATATTTTTATTGATTTCAGAAAGGAAGGGAGAAGGGGAGAGAGAGAGAAACATCAATGATGAGAGAGAATCATGGACCGGCTGCCTCCTGCACGCCCCCCACTGGAGATGGAGCCCGAAACCCGGGCCTGTGCCCTGAGCGGGAACCATGACCTCCTGGTTCATAGGTCCAAGCTCCACCACTGAGCCACGTGGGCCTGGTGAGACGTGTATTTTTATGACACCCACAGCCTCCAACCCAAGAACATGATTAAATTGGACTTAGTGCCGCTCAAAACGCTGGTCTCAGAATGTGTGCAAATGAGAACAGCATTCCCCGTTAGTTTTAGCCCCTGCCGTTTATAGCGGGAGAATAGTGCGCTTCCTCTGTCTTCACCTCTGAGGTTGGCTCTCTTCAGGAGTCAGTTTGCCCATTGCTTTCCAGTTTTTTTAAAACATTTAAAATGCTTAATTTTCTTTCTTTTTAGAGTCTCAGCTTTTTCAGCAGACTCTCCTGCTGGTTTTTCCTTTTGTCTTCCCCCCTCCTGAATGCCGATCTCCTGCCTCAGCCGTCTGTATTTCTGGATGGGACTCTGCCTTCTCAGTCTTTCCTTCTTTCCTTCTAGTAAAATCTCTCTGCGGCTTGGAAGCCTCTCAGGTTCCCGCGGTGGAAGCTCTCTCTGGGGCGGGGGAGCCCTGCGAGGTCCCTGACAGCAGTGACGAGATGGATGCGCAGGAGGAGAGCATCCATGAGAGACCCGTCTCCAGGAAAAAGAAAAGCAGGAGGCACAGAGGTACAGGGCTTGCTCTCTTTTGGTTCATTCGTCCTGTGTGTGGTGACAGCAAGTAGAGAATCCGAGTGTGGATCTCAGGAGTGGGACAGGGTTTAACATGCCATGAAGCTTTTCTTTACTGATTCCATTCTGACATTTTGAAATTTCTTAATAATTATGTTTAAAATACAGTTCTTTAATCATTATTGAATTTTGACCCTAAAGACAAATTTTTAATAGCACTCTGCTTCATAAATGTTCTGATGGGTCTCAGTGGGGGAAATGCTGGTACCCTCTCTTTCAGAGAGCGATGTAATGTGATGTAAGGTGGGGCCCAAATGCGATAGACCAAGCTTTAAGTGATTTCAAGAAAGGATAGGAACCAAAAAAGAGGATGTTGCTTTAGAGGCCTAGGTCTCTGATATGAGGAACTCAACCCAAGAACCTGATTGAGTCAATGAACTGCTGGGAGCAATTACCTAGAAAAGCAGAGGCAGCAGTGGGGAGGTGGTGTAGGGGCCTTTTGCCCCGGAAAGAGGAGGAAGAAATCTGGTTTTTGGATAGTTCTATGATAGGCCTGAGCTAAAGGTTAAAGGTTAGCTTTAGGATTAGCCCAGAATTGAATGATTTAATGTATGCAACATTACTTTGAAAACTTCAAAATAGCATATAAATAATTATTAAATAAAAGCCTTAAAAACAAGACCTATTCACTGGGGCAACAGGAAGCAGAAGTTTCCAGCAGCTGGAATAAGCAGGAAATGATGAGTTTGAGAGGCTTCTTGGACCTTTTAAACCTTTTTCTTAGCTGTGCAAGACCTGGGAGAATCTAAGTGATTGGGGATTTTTAGATATTTGTATAATAGAAGTTCAGAGTTTATGGAAGATGATTTAACTATGGGTGGTGGGCACACAGTGCAATATACAGGCCATGTATCCTAGAAATGTACCCTTAAAACCTAGAAGACCCCATGTTTTTTGTAAAAAGGAAAGGTCAGATATGATAGTTCTTTTCTTCTGTTTCAGAAGACCTGGATGGGGCTGGAGGTGAAGAGTACCCCATGGATATTTGGCTGTTGCTGGCCTCCTACATACGTCCTGAGGACATTGTGAATTTTTCCCTGATTTGTAAGAATGCCTGGACTGTCACTTGCACTGCCGCCTTTTGGACCAGGTTGTACCGAAGGTGCGGCCACAGGGAGCTCACTGTTGTCTGTGTAGCTGATTTCATGCTGTTTGTGAAACTGCTCCTGGGATGGTGACCTTTACACTTTCTCTACTCCAGGCCTGGTGTGAGCCTGGCTTTGGGTTCCTTGAGATCCTCATTTAAAATTTATATTATTAATTCATCAAGGCAACTGTCTTCCCTGTGGTTGTCCCCTCCCCTGATCCCATATCCGTTTGCAAACTGTTGCTTCACGTTTCAGAAGAATTGTCTTTGATTTTTCCTCAGGGGGTTGTCTTAGCTGGAATTTTCAAAAGCTTCAGATGCCCACCTGTTTGTCTTTCTAACTAGATTAGTTTCTTACATTTGTTGGTCGTCTTGAAGTACCATATAGTTTTGTTCTTATGCTGCCCTACATACACTTGTAGGGGTGAGGAGAGGGTGAACAGTGTGGCTAGTAAAAGGGTAGTTCTTGATACTGGGTGCAGAAGTGTAGTGAGGTTAGGAACTGTCAGTGAGAATGTGGTGGGAAGGAAGTAGAGAACTTGGTGTCCCTTCTGGACAGGGTCTGAAGTATCTGGTACTCCTAGCAAAGCTAAGACTTTCCCTTTCTTAGGGTGAAATAAGGATAATTAGAAATTTTAAAAAGGATGGAGAAGTATAAGATTATAAGGTATGTGTAAAATGAGTTTCACATAGCAAAGAAGCAAAAGTAGCTGAGAAGTGAAGAGATGGTGATGTGTGTGTGTATGAGAGCGAAGTCAGACTGAGACCAGGAGTCATAGGAGGCTGACCTGGAGCCGGAGAGACAGGCCACACGTTGGTAGGAGTCATGTGTCGTGTTTCAGGCACTACACGCTGGATGCCTCTCTGCCTTTGCGCCTGCGCCCAGAGTCCATGGAGAAGCTGCGCTGCCTCCGGGCATGTGTGATCCGATCTCTGTACCATATGTATGAGCCCTTCGCTGCTCGAATCTCCAAAAATCCAGCCATTCCAGAAAGCACGCCCAGCACATTAAAGAATTCCAAAGTAAGTGAGAATCAGCGTGGGGTTCTTGTGTGGTAGGCCTGTTCGCGTGGCTTGTCTCCAGCTTCCTTGGTGGGGAGGCTAGGCCTCCGGGTCCCAGGCTGCTAGGGGACGAACGTGAACTTCCAGGGCTCAGGGTTTTCACGTCTCCAAGACGTCCCTGCTCTGCCGGCCTGGCTTCCTGAGGCTTTTGTCATACTCGTTACTCTCTTTATCTTATTTTCATGCATTATTTTCACGTTAGATGGTTTGATGGTTTGGGTTAGGAAGAACACAACTCACATGGTAGGTCTCAACTGTAATTCTTAAGTGTTTTAAATCATGATGCAGAGGTAGAACACGAACAGCTTACTAGTTTTCTCTTTCTGTTGGGACATTGACATCTGGATTTCCCTTCTTGTTGACCTCCCTTAGGGTCCTGGTGTAGGCCTTGCTCCCTTAGCGTCTGCTAGCATTCTGATTTGTACGTAGGTGTGTTAGCCTTGGTCCGTTCTCTTCCTTTTCTCCTTCATAATGAAATACCTAGTGAACACACCTTTGTCCGGCAGAGCTTGTATGGCAGATATTATTCAGGCCAGTTGATGGTCTCCACGCCCCCCCCCCCCCAAAACTAATATTGTCTAAATTTTGTATCTTTTGATCCTGTAGGTAATTTTTATTCTCAGCCTACACAAAACCTGGTGTTCTATAGCACTTCCTACTCTTTTGTATCTTGTTTTTATGCTTTGGATGGTACAGTGATTCTTCTCCCCTAGTGTAGCCCCAGAGTGATCATATTCTACCTTATACATATTGATTAAAAGGTGCTGCTGATTTCAAGGTTATTTATCAAGGTTCCTCCCAGGGTTGCAGATGGAGGTGGTCAGGGCCGTGAGCTGAGCTCAGTTTAATATCACGCCAGCTGATGGATACAGGGCTGGGGTAGAATTGCACCCAGCAGCTGTTTCTGCTTGTAATGTGAGTGGACAGTGTATGTGTCACGTTTACAGTCCCCCACACCCTTCCGAATAGTGATTGTATCAGACTAACTGTGATGAGGAGGGCATCGCCCCAGAGCTGACCAGGCAGGTGTAGGTTGGTTGCTGGAAGCAGAGCAGCGTCGGGCAAACTCGTGCTGACACATCGTAGCGGCTCCAGTGCCCAGTCCTAAAGGACCTGTGTCTTCACACTCTTGTCACCGCGTAGTAACTCTTAAAAGTGGACTCTTAAAGGCAAAGTGGAATGATAGCTAATGTTTC